ACATCCATAACACTTAACATAATATAGTCTGTACTTTACTTATATAGCTTGTTTTCTTTTGACTGCCTTCTAGAATGTAAGTTCTATGCAAATAAATGTTTTCTAATGACTGTTCTTCACTTTCCCTGGACAATCCCAGGCACATGTAAGCATTCAATAATAATAAATAAATACAGAAATAAATTGCTATTGATCATATTTAGTATGGAACTGACAAATTACATCTAATTCCTCTTATAAGAATCACTTTTTGGAAGGCAGTACCACCTCAGAGTTGAGGCTGCTTTCTGGAGTCATTGTGCATTGAATCTTGATTTTAACACTGGTTGTCTGTGTAACCCTAGACAAATAAGTTAACATCTCTGTGCTTTAGTTATCTCATTACCAGGATAAGGGTATAATTCACTTATCTCATGTATAAAATGCTTAACAAAAAAGATAGATGTACATTCTCATAAACTGTCACCCTTTAACATTCACTGAACCTGTCATTAAATCAATTTGTGCAAAGAACAATATTCTTGATGCACTCCTTGCCTAAGTGAAATAGTGCCATGACAATTATGTAGAAGTTAAAAATATTTTGCCTAAATCTTCTAAATCTTTTAGTTCAAAGCATATTTTAAGCACACATTATTTATATAATTTACTTTCTGAAAGTTAGCAGGACATTAATTTTATTTATCTGTCAAGTTCCAACCAAGTCAAACAGTAGAGTTATAATTCCAAGAGTTAGGCTTGGCTTTGAAGCCTACTATGCCATTTCCTGGGTATGTGGCCCTTGGTAAACCAAATAAAAACTTTAGGCTCTGTTTCCACATTTTTTAATCATGGGTGAAATTTAAATTTATGTTAACAGCTGAATATCAAGCAGAGTGCAGTGCCTGGCACATAGCAGATCTCAATAATAAGAAGGTTAAAAAAATTAAATATATAAAATCTAGAGAACCATGTTTCTGACAGAACTGTATAATTTGATTTAAAATTAAGTGAGAATTGAAAGTGAAATTATTTCTCCAAATCCAAGTTTAATCTTAGGAAAATACATTAGAAATTCATATTTTGGAAGAAGCTATTTTAAAAAATTTTTAATATGAGAAATGTTGAGATACTTGACAGAAAATTATTTAGTATCTCCTTTGTTTTGCTAAGGATAAAACACTGAGCCCATTAGTACCAGTTTAAAGATGAACATGTCTCTTTTTAAAATCAACACCTCTGAATTCCTTAATTCAGCTCTTATTTTGAAATAAGAGATTCAAATAAATGGATTCAAATCCCCCTTCAGTCAATCTCTAGAGTTGTCATTTAAAAATCAAGGTGAGGACCAGAACACAGCATGGTCAGTCTGGATATACAGAAGGTATTAAAATATTAGTTTCAGGGCCACCACACATGGATGTGCAAGGTGTACCCTGCACAGGGGCATTCAATTTAAATTTATGGGAGTTCTAAGTTAAGAAACGTACAAAAACTTCAGGCAGACATATCTTAAAGGTCATTATTATCCAATCATCTATTATCTAATTCTCTATTGTTGATATTTTATAATTTGGCTGTATTAGGCAGCCTTGTACACCTTGTTAGCACCATGATAGGGGCGCTGATTCCTGCACTTCATTACGGTGGAGTAGAGGGAAGATGCTTCTACTCTGGTTCTCTAACCAGAGTTTGCTGGAGCCACAGTGGAACAACAGACGTCTCAGGCCATCCCACAGCAGGCCACGGGGATTAGACTCTGCCTGTGACAGGAAGCTCAGCTATGTGTTCTGAGCCAGATCAGAACTAGAGTACAATTGTCTAGAACTGCCCCTGCCCAGGAGCTAGGGAGTCTGAGCAACCAGGACATTATGCTTTGAGGAGAATAAAGAATTTCAACCTGCTACTTTCCTTTCTTTAAATCCCAAGTGACCCTATTTCAGAAATGAACTTTAGGAACTGTGGCAAGGTAGTATCTCCAAGTTAGCTACTGTGAATTGAGCTCAGATTTTCTATGTTCAGGGGAAATGATGGAGATAGGATTGAGAACAGGAAGTTTGCAAGTTAATAGTTCATCGTTTTTTTTAACCTGTAGACAGAATATAAAAAGCCTCCCAAAGTCTTAAATATGCCACAAGTACTCCTAATGTTATAAGGGACCAAATGTAGATGCTGCCTATACAAGAGACGTGAAGTCCTTTCAAAAATGCCCTGATCAATGTTTCTTCATACTAAAACACAGACCAGTGCAGATAATGCTATAAATAGAATAATGTGATTCAACTTATCAGAACTGCCCCTAGTCTATGGACTCCTCTGTGTTGAGCTGTCTAGCTCCAGCACATGTGGCTTAGCCAAAGGAGAACAGGCTCTGTCCCCACCTCTTTCCATTGGATGCCCCTGAGCAGGGTACACCTTGCACATCAATGTGTGGTGGCCCTGAAGCTAATATTTCAATACCCGCTGTGTTTCCAGATTGATCATGCTGTGTTCTGATCTTCACCTTGATTTTTAAATGGCAACTCTAAAGATTGACTGAAGGGGGATTTTAATCCATTTATTTGAATCTGCTTATTTCAAAATCAATGTATTTTCTGTTGAAGCAAGCTGCCTTCTGTTACCTTCCTTTCTTTAAAAATATTCATTAAGGGTTTTAATCTCCATGACAGAGCAGGAGGTCTTATTCATGGTATGAAGGGGAGAGGTATATCTCTTTTGGACAACCTCAGATCAGATCTAAAGTGGTAAAGCAAAGACTTATTATTACTGTCAGTAGACTCTTTCAAATAGCTTGAATTTCTCATCCATTTTTTATAAACACATGTGTCCAGTTTAGTCTATAGTAATAATTCTCACTCTTTTCATAATAAGAGTTTCCTTTCCCTTATCAAAAAAAATAATGTTTCCCCTTTATGCTCATATTATAAATACACCTGTTAAACATATTACATTCACTACATAAGAATTTGTTTATTCATTTTCAGTTGAACAGATAATATTAAATAGTACATAATTCAAAAATCAAAAGAAAGCAACTGATGATAAATGGCAACCAAAAAAAGAAAGAAAGAAGCAACTGAATTTATTTATTAACAGATTTAGATAATTTGTGCATTAAACTATTATCAGAAAGACCTGAAGTTGAATTCCAGTTTTTCTATTTGTTTTCCATGTCCTTTAAACTTCCTAAGATGTATTTTTCTTTCACTGTACCTGTACCATCCAATTGTGATAAGGAATATGAATGAGACACTGTAGGTAAATAGTCTGGTACACAGTGCTCTCTATGTGTACAGTGTGTACTCAGTAAATGTTATTTTTCTCTTATGAAAGAATATAAAAGCTAGAAAGCATTCAAAATAATAAAATAACTCATTGTTGAAACCGCTTGACTCTGTGTGTTCCTAGGAATGGTAGCAGCTCCAGAGTGAAGACAACAGTGTGGGCATAGAGTCTCAAGGGCACCTATCATGAGAAGGGAGGGGCAGGGCTGAGATAGGTGTGTGTGAGGTGGAAGATACCATTCAGAAACAAGCTGCTCTTTTTTGCTAGTAGTCTTCCAAAGTCTCCAAACAAGCAGGGATGACTTCATATATCTCCAGGGTCTCCAGGAATTAGACAATGAAGGTGTAAGGTGTGGCCAAAAGAGCCCACATCTGGGCCAGCAATTGTGTGAGCCTTTTGTTTAGGGACTGTCCTGGGGGAGCAGAACTAATCAGGCCTGTGGTTATTCTCCCAAAAGCCATTAGGTTTGTGCCTGACTATTACGTTATAATGCTGAAGAAAGGAAGCTCTTGTTGAGTTACTATTTGTTCAGACTATTTTTGAGCATAAACTCAAGCCTTCCTTTCCCACATCCTCACCAAAGTGAGGTCGCTCACCATGAACTTGTTATATTAAAATGATTATTCAAAAACAAGATGTATTTTCTTCCTTTTGCTAAAGACTTGAGTAATTATTCAAGGGCAGATCTTTAAGGACATCTAAAACATCATATTCTCCCCAAAACCTCAAGCTTTTAAAGTGCACTAAATTATTTGAACCAACCATTTACAATTTTATTTTATTTTTGCTTTTTATGCATAAACCAAAACCACCAACCTAAAAGATTATTATTATTATTTTTTAGTGAAAAGACTATACTCTATGAATAAGTTGGGCACTCCTGGAACAACTTTATCAGGCCAATAAAAAGAAACTTTATCAGGCCAATTGAGGAGAAAACAATAATTAAATACCAGACTAACTGGTGCTTAAGTATTAAAGTCAATTTATGTTTGTTTATTCAATCTACATTGACAACTTAAAAATGTCATCTTCCATTACTTTTGAGTAGGAATCCAAGGTTTTCGTGTGTCTAGTAACCCTTATTACCCACCAGTGAACAGCCAGCCATTGGAGGAGCCATGGTGTAGTTCCACACACAGTGCCTTTCTGTTTTCCCTTTTGCTGTTTCCTGACAAAATGACGTACAAACCAATGATTTGGAGAAGTAGTCTGAAATTTCTTTGTTGAGGGGAAATTTTTCCTGACATTATTTGGTCATTGAGAGTATTACAATTCTGAGGATCGAATAGTAAGTATTAAATTCCTCTGCCTTTATGTATATGGGTATTTTCAAGTGCAGAGTTTTCTCCAAATTGGTCAGTTTGCCTAATGATGGTGTTCTAATCTGCCAAATACTTACTTTGAGTTCTTCCTATTTATGTTAAAGATTTTTCCTTTTACAAACTTGATAACTTACACCTGACTAGTCACTCTTCTATGAAAAAAGCCTGGCTTTAGCGCCTTTTGCAAAATGAAGCCAACGAAAGAAAATAATTTTGACTTATTGTAACCAAAATCTCTGCCTTGTTGCTAAGAATTATTTCTGAGAGTCTTTGGGCTTTTTATGATGTTTGCTTGCAGGAATATAGACTGCTTGCCTATCCAACAGTGAGTTAGATCAGCCTCAGTATTTCCAGCAAGTAAGAGTGAAGACTGGTGATAACATCATGGGTAATTCTTTTCTAGGTTTTGCAATGGAACAGATATGGTTGCTGTTGCTTCTAACAATAAGGGTACTTCCGGGATCTGCTCAGTTCAATGGCTACAACTGTGATGCCAACCTCCACAGTAGATTTCCTGGTAAGTCTAAGCCTAATCTTTTCTCTAACTATGTCTGAAAGAGTGATTATGTTTGGAAAGTAAATCATTTAAATACATATAAAAAATGGTGTGGGGATCCCTCTATATTAAGTGGATATTAACAAATGGCAAATAACAAAAGACATTTTTCTGGAGTTGTAAATTATATCCACATTAACATACAAAGTGTTCATCGTAGTTAATATCATTATAATGGCTGCTCACAGATGTAAAAAAATATTGGCTAGTGGGTGATAAAATTGGGAAAGGCTAATTTTATTCCAAATTTGCCTAATTTATGCCTTTTTTCCCTCATAAGTTAATTCAGATTCTCCAAACTGCTCATATATACTAATAGACTTATTAGAAATAACACTTAAGAAATGATTGTGAAATATTATGCAATACTCAAAAAATACTATTTCAATAAAATGTTGGTCACCACTAAAATATACAGCCAGCTTCAGAGTGCATTTCACAGCAGCCCATCAATTGGTGACAGATAGGAGATTTTGACCATATTGATAAACATGTGTCTCAGCTTCCTCAAATCTGCACTCAATGAGATGTAAATCTAACAATTCATTTAAATATTTGTCATTTCATATGAGATAAAGTTATAGAACCACAGTTCAACATTTTCAAAATAAAAGTTAGATAATCTGAAACTACTTTTTCAGTCTGCCAACCAAATTGAAAAACTTCTACCACGTTTCACATTCTTCATACCTGTCATTACTCCTGTGTCCAGAGCAGGATAGGGCAACCACACACTTGCATAGAGAAATCAGTAGCTTATTACATAGTTGATGTGAGATTTCTAGTTTATCTGCAGAGAGGCAATCTGGCTTGCTCCAGAGTAAAGACCAAAGAGTGTGGGAATGTCTTCATGAGCTCAGACTTAGGAAGCAGATGTTTGGCAGGTTAACTAAAACATGGAGGTCAGGAAAGACAATGTCTAAAGGTAAGTATGCAAAAGAAGGTTTGTTAATGGTTTTGAATACCAGAAATGATGTTTTGCATTGGTTTGTTTGCGTTTTGTTTTATTTTTTATTATGAAAAATTTCAAATCTATACAAAAGCAGAGATTAATAAAAAGAGCACTTATGTTGATTATCAGCTCCATCAATTATCAACATTTACAAATTTTGTTTTATCTTCCTTATCAATCCCATCTCTGGAATATTTAAAATAAATTCAAAACAAAGAAGAATTTTAAAAAATCATTATACTTCATGTGCACATCTAATAAACGTAATGAGACCTTAATATTATCTAATACTCAGGCATTTTGCTTTTAAAATATCCGCATTTTTTAATATGTGTCTTAAATCTAAAATAATTTATAACCATTCCTCCCTGTCCTTCACTTTTCTAAAATTCTATCTATCTCTTTAAGTAATTTGGTCATTTGTTTTGTAGGACTCTGACACTCTAGATCTGGTTGACTGCCATTCTGACATGTCATTTAATATGCTCCTTCTTTCCTGTATATCCTATAAACTAATTAGATCTAGAAATTTGAGTAAAGTCAGGTTCATTTTTTTTACAAGAATACTTGATATATTATTTATTTAATAAAAGTATTTGTTTTAATTTTATAGGCAGAGAAGTTATTTAGTCTTTTTAAACATATCTTCTGAAGCGTTTGCAAATGTCATATTTTGTTGTAAAAAGCAGACATTAGGAAAAGTAGAGACACACTTCAGAAGGGACTCGAGGCCAAGAGAAATATCACAAAGGTAGTGACAGTGGAGGCATAGATACTATGTTGTGGACTCTCACCAGCACTTAGGACTGATTCCATTTGGGACATGAGAGAAGACTAGAGGATGTTTTGAACATGGATAACTGAATGTTGATACTATTACCTGACAGCAAAAGTATAGGGCATATTTTAGAAAGAAATTTTGGGTTTGGAAAACATGAACTTGTGGAGCTTTAAAAACTGAGAATAGTAGTGTCTATCCAGTAGTAGGAAATATGACTCTGGGTCTAAGGAGTGAGGTTGACACTGGAAACAGCTATGTGAGAGCTGAATCGCTGTGCAGCAAGTGAGCAAGAAATAGGGAAACAGGAAAACTAAAGTTATGAAAATAGACTACCGTATTTTCCGGCGTATAAGAGGACACAGTGTAGCTTCGGGTACAGAACATGTACACTGTGTTCTAGTAAAAAGCCTGCTCAAATTGGCCAGAGTCAGAGGCAGTCTATTAAAAAAAGAACTGGTGTTGCTTCGGAAGTGGGGGGTAGTCTTATACAGCAAATACAGGCCTAAACCTATGTTTTAACTGTAAAATTAGGGGGTCATCTTATATGCCGGACAATACGGTACTAGCTAGATAACTTTGATGGTGAAGGAAAGGAAGAAGTAACCTAACTCAACTATTTAAATGAGAAGAAAGAATTTTAAGGTTAGAGGACTAGAAACAACTGAATATACATGAGTAATGGGAAAGTACTCCAGAGATTTGAAACAATTGAGATAACAAGGAAATAAAATATGGATAAGACTTAAGGTACAAGTGAAAGGGTTAACCTTGAAAAATGGTAGCTGATTCTTTGATTTAGAAGCAAAGGAGAAATAAGACACAGGCAGAGGAGTTGAGAGATGCTAATTATCTCTATCTCTGCAGTGAGGTGGGAGGCAGGGGCTCTGAGAGTGAGGGGCCTCGGCCGGGCCAGGCCTGAGAGTGATGGTCAATGTTTTCTTACTTAGTGATGAATGAAAAAGAAAGCTCAAATGTAAAAAAATTGCTTAGTAGAGAGGATCTAGCTGCTGTTGTAGTTATATATTTGTAAACGTAAATAAAATATATAAATGAGCCAGTTAGTGATTAGGCAATAAAAGGAAGAATTTTTCATATGATGAATTTTAAAAATTATGTTAAAATATCTCTTTACAATGGTGCCCACAGACCACTTGTATCAAAATCACCTGGGCTACTACTTCACCCAAAATATGTAGTGGCAGAACCTCTGAGTATGGTGCTTGGAATCTGTATTTTAAATCTTGCAGATGAGTCAAATGCACATTTATGGTTAAGAACAAGTGACAGAGTATATTCTATTATTCTCTCTAGTCTAATCTTCCATCTAAAATCTTAGTCATGTGTTGTGGAAACAATTAAAAACAAAAATCTCTCAATCCAGAAATCCTCTCCACAAAGACCGTAGAGATAAAAACACTTTTATCATTGAATAAACATTAAGCTGGAATATGGTGCTCATCATAGGCAATCTACCAAGAGGTTGCAAAGACAGAAATTAATCTCATTCTTTTATTAGTGTATAGCCAAGCAGATGCAACCCATTATGGATATGTTTTCAAGATAAACAACAATAAGACCTGAAGTAGGAGGACTTGACACCACCATTTGTCACATATAGTTTATCCTAAAATTACTTGATAATTCTGTTAGCACAATGGCTTTATCCAGAGGAAAAATAAAATCCGAATATCTTTATGAAAGGAGGTACTTTTGCCATCTTGAAGCAAAGATTCCCACTGAAGTTAGCCTCTCACCTCCCACTGGGTGCTTTCTTTTTTGATATTTAGATTTTCAAGAGATACTTCCCAGGTCTTGAAAAAGACATTTCTAGGTCATGGAACTGACAAAGACTTGTCTAATTTTCCCACGGGATGTACATACATTTCAAGGAGAGGAGAAAGTACTTACAATTATGTTTTCTGATGTAAATGATCTAAAAGAGGGAGAAGTCCTTTCCTTTTTTTTTTCTTCCTTTTTTTTCAACAAGGATAACTAAGCCTTTTATTTTTAATTTCTGTTTAGTGTCTTTGTAAATCTTAACATTTTTAGTATTGTCTGGCTTAGACAACAACCTATACACACATACACACAACATTTGAAATCCAGATAAATCAGGAATTCAGGAGAGGCTTTAAGTTTATATGGGTACCAGAGGCCCAGTGCACAAAATTCATGCATGGGTAAGGGTCCTAGGCCTGGCCAGTAATCAGGACAAATCCTTGGGGTGACCTGTGGGATGATCAGGGGATCCCAGCTGGCAACCACCCTGATTGGCCTGGTGCTGCTCACTTGCCAGTTCCAACCCCAGCCCTTGCCAGTCACCTCCCTTGGCTGACTGGGGCCTGGGTGCTGCAGGTAGCTCCTATGTTGAGCATCTGACCCCTGGTAATCAGTGAATATCATAATAACTGGTTGTTCCACTGGTTGTTCTGCTGTTTGGTCAATATGCATATTAGACTTTTATTATATAGGATTACTTTCAAGTAAGTCTATTTTTGTAAGTCATTTGCAAAAGATCAGAGTGAGCTAATAAAGCCTAGAGGTTAATTGCTAACTCTCCTCTTGACTCACTTTTCCATATCAAGATCACTCTTGATGTCATTAGGAGCTTCAGAAGCAGTTCAGCTACTGCGCAGTGGGCTAGAATGAGAATGAGTCTGATATAGGAGAGGGGCTATCTAAATGCAAAGTAATGTTAATAATGAGAACAATCATCTCACCCTATCTGACCTTTGTGTTGCATGGCATTAGAACTATTTTCTTTAATTTCCATGGCATTTATCCTTGAGCCAAGGGAAATACCATGGTCTAATTCATTTCCAATTTAAAGGGATAATATTTAATTTTAAGATGGTTAACTATTGGCTTTCCAAACTAATAGCAGGGAATAGAGATATGCCCAACTAACATTATAGTGCTCTTTCCAATAAAAAACACAAACCACAATTGACTTTGAGGGTATCAAGGAATTATTTGACTGGAGTGAAATACATAGATAATTGCATTTGACCTCTGTTACTAATGGGCACCTTCTGGAACTAGACCCTTTTGTGGACAAGTTGATAAGGGTTAACCTAAACTTGCAAATTTCTAAAGAAGTCTTTAATGATAAAGGTACAACCAAGGAGAGATTAGGTTTATGGTACCATAACCTTTTTGGCCTGACACTGTTTTATGGTGACTAACCAGTTATGAGAAATTGACTGTATACCAGTGTCACATAACTTA